TGCGCAACCTTGGGGGTGGCTGAGCGCGCCTTGCTAGGAGGCGCCTGTAGCTTAAAGGGCTTCTCAACGGATTTGGGAGTGTAAGCTAGGCTAGCCTTGCTGGCGAATGAAGAGGTTGGCTCGGCGGCTGGGGCGGCGGGAGTGAAGCTCGGTGCCTGGGAGACCTCGGAAAGCGAGTTGTAAGTCGAAGGGGGGAATCGCGGCGACATTGCGTACTGCGAGAAAGAGGGCGACTTGGGGCCGAAGCCGGGGGTGTTGGGGGCCGATTGTGAGCGTAGCTGGGCTAGGTACAAGTCCGAGCGGGCGCGGTCTCGCATGTCCATCGACTTGGTGAGCTTGCGCTTCGTGATGTATCGGTAGAAGACGATGCTGTAAAGTGTGATCGTGAACACATCGAGCACGATTTCGATTAGGGCGCAAATCAGCGACCAATTCTATTGGAACAATAGTTAGCAACTACGATCAACATTTCTAACAAGTTGCAGAGCGCGCGCATGTAAACTCACCTGAAGTCGGCAGACAAGAGCATAGTCAACCTTCTGCGAGAAGACCTCAGCTCTCTTGTTATCAACACAAGCCCATCCCCACATATCCTTATTGTTGCTGTTGTCGCGACTGAACTGTAGAATACCGGCGGCGGCAGCCCATAGGACCGACGATGCAATGAACCAACCGACTGCGAACAGAGTGTAGTATACACCGACTTTCTCAGCTCGGTGGTGACCGCCTCTGATATAACCAAAGAAGATGAGAATGCAAAGAATGAGATTGACGCCCGAGACTGAAAGGACAAGGACCTGGGGCCACAGTTTCGTGTTTTCGGCCCATGCTGGCAGACCGCTTTGCGCCGCTAGATGATTTGTTGTACGGAAGATGTTGAAGGAAACGGCAAGCAGGGAAACGATGATCAAGCTGCAGCTGAAGCTGATACCACGGAGGGCGAATTTCGCCAATCTGACCCTGTACTTGAGGCCCTAAACGATAGTTAGTAAGACAATGCAATTACACATTGGTTATCAACACTCACCACATCCTTCTTCTGCGCGGCTTCCGTATCCTTTTCTCTGGCTTCGAGGATATCCTCTTCCCTGAATGTTGGGCTTAGGGGATTCTCTATTCTCCTTCCTGGTGTACCAGGAACCCTCATAGCACTCTTTAGGGGTGATTTCGGTGTCATTGGCATGTTGACAGTTTGTGTGGTCGTGTCATCATTAATGTATCCGAAGCCTACATCGGCTGGTTGAGCCTGGGCAACATGTGACCTCTCATCCCGACCGCCAAAGGGGTTGGTCGTCTGTGGCTCTATGGGAGAATATACTGTGGTAGCCTCTGCAAACCGGGGCGTCCTTGGCGGCTTTAGTGAGGATGTGGTAGTAAATGATCCATCTGTTGACGACGACCGTGACGGTGTCAGGTTGAGGGCAGCAGGGCGCTTCTTCTCCTCTTGCGACGCCATTGTAGCGTTGTGGATAGTCCGGTAAGAAAAAGAACAACGCTCGTCCCTGCGAGTTGGCTATTCTATATAGTACTGTATAGCAAGAAGTGCTTCGCGAACCAAGCCTACTGAAATGGGGTTCGGGATAGGGATGAAGCAATCTTGACAAGAAGAAAAAGAGTATGGAGACCAGCTATCGAGAAAGGGAATTCTCAAGGCCGGACATGGGAGGAAGGTATAGGTTTTGAATAAGCGCCCTCGGGTGTTCTACCAGCTCATTCGACCCTCTGTGAAGCTCCCGCATACAAGGTCGGTGGGGATGGCACAACGTGCAGCATGCAATGGGATCGATCACGGTGGGTCGGGGTTCTCGTGGTCTATCCCAATGAAGGCCTCTGATAGGGCGGCTAGGAAGATTCCCAATCTCGAACGGGCGACTTTTGCTGTGGATAGACGCCGTGGGCAACGGGAGGATGCTTCACAATGGGCTTTTGATTGTATCGGAAGTCCAAGATCAGCAGACTCAAACCTTCATGGATTCATAACTCGATCGACTGCTGGAACAAGTTGCAGGTTTCCAAGACGCAGAGAGGAGAATGTAAGACAGACACCGTACTTCGTGAGTGAGAGGGAGGGGAGTGGATGGTACTATCAAAGGACATACATACATAGGCATAGCCATTGGACCCCGATGCCGAGGACGATACCGGGCCATTTTGGGTGTGTCTAAGGTACTGCACTGCTGTATGTACTGCTGTATGTACTGCTGTTATGTACCCAGCCAGATTGAGGTGACAGTCGCCATTCAGTGCTCGGGTATACGTAGTGCGTAGTGCGTAGTGCGTACTGAGTAGTGCGTAGTGTACTCGGTCCATACCTAGACTTCACCGTCGAATTGCGCGTTACCGCCCCCAGCACTATGACCGAGACCAGCCAGTGGTGATGGGTAATCTTGCTGATGAGGCCGCGGACAACGACCGACAATGGATTGAATGGGTCGCATGGCTCGAGGCGGGCAGGGAGCAGCAGCAGGGGGTAGCCCTCTCGGCATCGAGCGGAGAGTTGGAGAAGCGATCCTCATTGGCCAGATAATTTGCAGCCCAGCAGCCGGCGGCGCGAGCAGAGCGCTTCGCAGGGGCACTAAGACACCCCTGTCGACGATCTCCGCATCTCATAGGCGGAGACGGTCCGTGTGCTGCGTGCAAGAGCACCGGCATGGGCCAATCACGCCGCCCCAAGACGTGATGTCGCCAACCACCTGCATCCATCAGCTTTGGCCTGGGCGGTAAAAGTATCTGTTGGGTATACCCAGAACCTCAGCGACGACGAGCCAATCGCGAGGCCCAGCCTCTCTCATCTCCGTTCGTGCATGCAAAATCCCGCAGTGATTGCACCCGTCCATATTGTCGTCAACGTGTGTTTTTTGCTATGTAGTATAGTGTAGGCATTCAAGAACGGCGTATCGCAGCTTAGATAGGGGTCGATGCAGCGAGACCAACTCTCATGTCCAATTGAGATAGCACGATAGAATGGAACAAACCGCTAACAAAGAGGCTACACTCATAAAAGGTAGCGTGTGCACTAGGACATACTCGATGCGGCCCGGGCGTTCTACGCATGGCTGTCATCATCGTTGGTTGCATGGTCGCCCGACCAGCGTCTTGGATAATACAACCCAATGTAGTATATCAAAATCTACCTGCATATCGTCCCGCCACTATAGCCATATTGGGGTCCTAGAATGCGGGCTCAAGCTCCTCGACAGTGAGCCACATTGCGTATGTACATAACTCTACAATGATACACACCACGAGGATAATTTTAGAATAAATAGAACACCATAACTACATAAGTAGTGAGACGATGACACCAACGGTGGTCAGATTATAACAACTGACTGTATAACGCTCCTCGGCGGTAGTCACCGGTATCGTTGACGTGCTCACACAGACTCCGTCTCCTACCCCGAGGCTTTGTCAAGGCGATGTAACCGGTGAGCGTCAGGCCAGAGAGCCTCGTTGCCACCCCAAGGTTAGAAAACTATTAAACCTTGTTCAGAAGCACGTCTAGGGAGTTATCTATGAACCCTGGCACTCCAGCCTTAACCATTTCACGATGCCGATTTATGGTGGAGGGTATAGAGACGACTTGGTATCGCCTGGGATAACATCAGCTTCTATGCTGACTGCGTCCGCGAACGGGTTTCCTTCTTTTCATCTAAACGAAACGTTCTACAAACGCCTTCGACGTAGGACGGTTGATGATGCAAGGTCGCACCCCGCGATGTCTTGCGTATCCCCCTCTATTTTGGAGTTTCACATGCGGCTTTCGACCTTTGGTCATCTCTGAATCATGGGCGAATATCGCGAGCTGAACAGGATCCTGCCTATCGTATATATCCCCAGTACACCACTCATTCGTATACTATTCTTAAACGTCGTGCTCGACCTTTTAGCTTATCTTGACTTCTAGTATTCTCAAGATCTTCTCGGTATCCCGGCGCGACAAAAGACGTCACCGTACGGCATTGGATATAAAAATAACATACTCAGCGAAGGCTAGCAAGATATTCCATTCGTCGGGTTGACGATTGTGTCGTCAGGGTTCTACTAAGATATCGAGCCAACGTGAAGCTTCTGAGATTAATAGGGCAAATATACCAAATTTGCCTAACAAGTATTCATAGGCTAGCCACTCCCAGTCTTGATCATTACAGTATGACCCCAGAGTCTACGGATGGTCATATAATAGCGGCTGAACGACATAGTGAAGGCATAACATGGTCTAAGGCGGAGCATCAGTTATGCTATAGGTTTACGAGTTCTTCCGTCAATCACAGGCATAGTTGAGTCTGGATACGAATCAGGTATTCTCGATCTGTATCGTATTCAATGATTACGTAGTACACGTTCTGGCCCGTTGGCAGGTCTGAAATTAAGGTGATATACGACCAACCTTGCAGGCACTCGGTGAACATTAATAAGGCGAGTGAGGGCGTGAAATATACCCATATGAACTACAGATAATGCAGTCGCATTCGGCGCAGCGTCCAGACCGCGAACCAGGTGATTTGATGTTGGATAAGACATGGCTAGTTAGTACGGTACAATCATGAGGAGTCATGTATATCTGATGAATAGAGTAATGCTATACTGAGAGAGAGGCAATACCACATATACACTGCAATAGAAAAACCTCGACATCGTTACAACTCCTTAAAGGAGAAAGACCTACGGGTACTGGGAGACTGTGTATAGTGTTGAAGGACGACCGATATTGCCTGCCTATGTAAACCCCATTCATCCAAACCCAGCTTCTGGTATGTCTGCCTTACTAATAATAGCATGTCACGCTGAAGAGAATTGACATTTTGGTAATTAGAGTGGCAACGGTAAATATAGGTCCCTGTCGGCGATTTTCAACTCAATATCCAAGTTTCATATCCGATTGTCATGATTACAGTACAGTAGGTGGTAGGTGGAGGAGGAAAAGAGGGTCAGACTGCCAACCGAGAATTAGTCTCAAACCGGTTTAGGGTGCAGTGATCACAAGCAAACACATCCACGGCCTCGTGGCCCAATGGCAAGGCGTCTGACTACGAGAGTGATTTAGAAATGAATCGTTCACTGGCGATCAGGAGATTCTGGGTTCGACCCCCAGCGAGGTCAAAACTTTTGGTGATCATTTATTTTATTTTACTCTTATTTCTTTTTGGAGATCGCTTCCCTTTTTGAAACCCCGTTTTGATTCTATCTCGTGATGTTGCCGCTGAACAAATGTGAAGAATATGGCATCATGTGACCTGCTTACTTACTGTATGGGAACTTGGATACTAACTATGGATGGATAGTTAAGTAAGTAAGTAAGGTAAGTAACTAACTGTTGAACACAACAACATCTACTATCTATCTCTCGGACTGTGACTAAATAATACTTAGAGGTATGGAGGAGATATAGATAATGTTGTTGGCCAAATTTAAACTCTACTTCTATTCTTGACCAATATTCATCTCACCACCAGTGGTCAATAGATACATATACCTAACTGAGTGAGAGACTGAAGACAATATTAGTCTGGTGATGCATAAACCATCAAGAAGGTGGGATGAAGACTTGAGTAACGGAACCTTCATGTCTAGGCATTTATACTATCATTAGATTAAAGTTAGTTTAGGGGGTATGTATCCTTCCATCATTTCCTCGTTTTCCGCGCGTGCTTCACCAGGTTTTCTATGACACCCTCGAACGCCTCCCTGTCACCGATTTTCTCGTCTGTGCGTTTCTTCCAAAATTCGTGCACCTCGTTTGCTAAGACTTCCGTTTCTTTCAGCTTCCTCACGTGCTGCTGGAGTTCGATGTCGGTCATTCCTCTCAGGGCCTCTTCCGTTGTAGCGCACAGCTGTTTCGCCGCAACCAAATCAAACTCTGGTAGTTGGGGAGGAGCTTTCCGCTTTTTGGAGCGTGATCTAGGTTTCTCCTTACCCTGAGAGTCTACTGAAACAGATGATCCGTTGCCGTCCGATTTCCGTAGTCGAGACACGGAACGTGAGTCTGTGGAAGTCCGTAGCGAGCCATTTGAGGTGACCCGGTGTAGGGATGGCAGGACGAGTTTTTTCTGTTTGGATGCAGGCAGAATCTCGTCCAAATCTACAGGCACTCCAAGCGAGACCAGAAAGAGTCTCCTGATACGGGAACGGATCCAGTCAGGAGGCTGAAGAGGAGGCGGTGCAGCTAACTGTGACCATAACGATGCGCTCCTCGGGTTAAAGAATATGGGGTTGTCATTCGGCGGTGACGAAAGAGGAGGAATCTCGAGTACATCAGGTGCGTATAATGCATCCAAGTAGGGTTCAGAGGCGGTCAAGATGTCTTCAGAGTCTAGGCCATCGAGATCTAATATTGGCTTGGAGCACGCAAAAGTCAGTATAGTTGTAAGAAGGCTACCTAAGAAGGGTACTAAACACACAAAAGAAGGTATAGAGATTTGTGGCCCGCTTGTCAGCGGCTGAGCAGTTGAAGGTGCTTCAGCCTGCTGGAAGCCATCATCAAAATCGCCAAAATCCGCATCTTCGTCGCCCTCTTCGAATTCGTCAAAGTCGTCGCCAAAATCGTCATCATCGTCATTCATCTCCTCGTCGCGAAGACTCGCGATTGATCTGGCTGCTGAAGACTTCCTCCGTCTGGGTGTTGACGGGGACTTCAATGCTTGGTTGACAGCCGTGTCATCTACGAAGGCACGGTCAATGGCAGTGTGGATTTTAAGAGGACTTGGTCGTCGTACCGGTGACTTGTGTATTGACGTCTAGCGAAGCAGCAGCAGGGTTGGCCTCACTGGTGCCATCGGGCTTCCGAATGATATCTGGCGTGGCATCTGCTTGATGCATGTGTTCGTGATGGTCATGGGTCGAAGAGCCGGGGACGTCGTCGGCCTCGTCCACCACCGTTTTGGGAATCGCAATGTTTCCGGGTGCGACAGCCTGGTTCGACGTAGGTTGAGGCTGCCCGTCCTGTATAATGGCTATTTCATCCGGCGAGGCGTCCTCCGTCCTCTTCTCATAGGCCTCAGTGCCTGGAACCTCCCCGTAGGAGGGTTCGTCGTCTACTTTTTCGACCCGAGTTCGGGGAATAGGAGAAACAGCCCTGGTGCTATTCCCAGTAGGAGACGACTGAGCATCAGAATAGTGCTCGTCTGAGTCGGAGGCTTCTGTAGCGATACTAGTCAGATCTTAAAGGTCGTGAGAAAAAGTATCAGACAAGGACAAGAGCTTACCCAACTCGTGCGCACCAGGGTCCTCGGTCCCTGTCCTCCCCGGCGCCTCGAGACTGGAAGAAGGCCTGCGCTCTCCAGACATGTCGGGGGACGTAGCGCGGGAGATATCAAGCCCGATTTTGCACACTGGCGAAGAAGAATCAGCCAGTGCTCGGGACTGGAAGGGCGTTTGGGTTGGGGCGAAGATTCGAGGATGCTGCGGCACGAAGGTTGAGGGGTAGGATGGCTGCCCGGCTAGCAGCAGAGCGAGAATGCAGTGTTGAAGTAGCCAATGGATTCAAGGTACAGAGTAGCGTGGCTTTCACAGAGATGAGACATACACTATGTCAGGGGCTGAGGTTGATTAAAAAGCCTTAAGACCTTAAGACCTTAAAGCCCGTCGCTGGCGGAGGTGCACAGAGAAAGCTAAATAGATCAACAATAGGGCCCGCGCGACCTGGTAAATGGTAGATGACCTGCTCTGCTCCCTCGAGGGCGAGGGCGGCTGCTCAGGATCGGGATTGCTGTTGGAGGATCGGAGACATTGAACCTCATCGGATGATGAAGCTGCGGCACTCTCAGACCATAGTGGAGGAGAGGTGTATAGTTGGTTGTTAGTTGACGGGATCGATCGATTACCTACCTATTGAAGGTACTACAGCAGTAGGTCTTGGGTAGGATGGGTAGCATAGGTAGGGTCTAGACTGCAGCAAAACATAGGTGGCAGTCTAGACCGCTTGGGCCTATTCTAGATACCAACACGGCAATGATGGACGTACCTAAGACTTAGGTAAAACCATTCCCGCACACCATACGCACAGGTGTCTGCAAGTACTGTACCTCAGGTATAGTGTTGTGTGGCTCACGTGCTGTGGTAGTATGAGGTGGCTCGGGGTGTGGGTGGGCAGGCAGGTAGAAAGCCTGCTACGGGTGGGTGCAGCAGCAGCAGCAGCAGGTGGTACTAATACTGTGGAATAATGGTGGAATAATGTGGTATAATGTGCAGGTGGTATGGCGGGTGGTATAACGTAGGTATAGCGGGTGGCAGGTGGTACTGTGTGGCTCAAGCCCCACGCGCCGAATCAGTTGCCAGCCACCTGCTGCTGCCTCTGAGGCTTTGACCCATCTGGCTGCCATGGAACCGCAGCGGTGCGCGTTATCATGCTAGCTATCCTGTAGCTGGTAAGCTGGTAGCTGATGAGCTTGTCCGCGCAAAAAGTTGGCTGTTGCATGTAGACATTTTTAGATCGACAAGGTGACCGAGGTGTTGGACCATTCACACCATTGACACCATTGACACTGTTCACCACTGCGGAACATCTTTGTTCTCTCTGGTCACCCTCTCCATCTCTATCCACGCAGACGCAGACGCACACGCAGACGCAGCACGACCGACAACCCAACCCACCCCAGCCCAGCCCTGTGGATTCTCAGCGTCGCCATCTTCCATCTTCTGGGCATGTGTATGCGGATGTGGGTGTCCCTGAGCGGCTGCTGATTGAATCATCACATTCCACCTTCGCACGCGCTGCCGCCTCCCGAACCTGGGCCTGATCCTGAGCCTGAGTCTGAGCCTGAGTCTGAGCCCGAGCCCGAGCCGCCTACATTTCCATCTCCATTCCCACATCCACGACCGCAGCCAGGATCGCACAATGTCCAACCTCTTTGGCAACTCGACCTCTTCCGGGGCCAACAATAATGCCACCACCTCCAGTGCGTCAGCCGCCAGTGGGTTGTTTGGGTCTTCGACAACACCTACGACATCAGGCGGTCTTTTCGGCGACCAATCGAAAGGGACTCCTGCTTTCTCCTTTGGAAACACAGCAAGTGGAGGCAATAGTGCTCCGACTGCCTCTTCGGGCACTCCAGGTGCTGGTTTGTTTGGAGCCGCAGGCACGAAACCGGGCGAACAGAAGCCGCTCTTCGGAGCACCGGGCGCCACCTCTGCCTCAACTACGCCATCCTTGGGTGGAGGGACCAGTGGCAGCAGTAGCAGTCTTTTTGGGGCGTCGACAATGACACCCTCAAGCACCAGCATGTTTGGGAGCAAACCGGCGGCAACATCGACCAGCAGCCTCTTTGCCAACGCCTCTTCAACCCCGAATAGCACTGCAGCCAGCACGACACCGACCACGGCGGCTCCCGCCGCGAGCCTATTCGGCCAGGCCAAGTCTGCAACTAATCAAGAAACTTCTGCGAGCAAACCGGGCGGGCTGTTCGGGGGAGCTGGTGCTGCTACCGGAGGCTCTCTCTTTGGTGGCACAAACTCTAGCACTACGTCCGCTGCCCAGGCAACGCCCGCAAAACCCATGTTCCCTCTCAATTCCACAACACCCGCTGGTGCACCTCCTACTAACACTTCCAAGCCGTCTGCTGGGATAGGGCTTTTTGGCAATACACCTACTACTACCACCCAGAGCAGTTCCTCCCTGTTCCCCTCTGTCCAGCAAGGTGAGAAAAAGGAGAACCAATCTGCCGGCTTGTTTCCTACCCCACAGTCAAAGCCTGCGACGACTCAACCAACCAATTCACTGTTTCCCGCTGCTGGCCAACCTCAGAAAGCAAGCACATCCCTTTTTGGCGCCGCGAAGCCTGCCGAGCCTTCATCTACATCTATGTTTGGTGCAAAGCCTGCAACCACGGAAAGCACCGGTCCTAAGGCTGGTGCAGGTGGCACTTCGCTCTTTGGACAACAGGCGCAATCCAAACCAGCCGAGACTGCCGCGCCAGCTAAGCCGACTTCTCTCTTTGGAAATGCCCCTGCGCCAACACCATCGGGGGGTTCCCTATTCCCTGGCACTACCAGCACAGCTCAAACGCCTGGCACCTCGGCACCCGCCGCCTTAACGCAAACCAATTCACTTTTCGGGAATGCAAACAAGCCGACGACTGGCACCGCTACCACTGAGCCTCCAAAGT